TTTGCTTTCGGGGCCAAATCAAGATCATGAATCATGAATTAAAGGGCTGGTTGTGCTAGAATGTATTAATAAAACCCATTAAATAGTAAATATAAAATATAAATACATTTTTAAAATGAAATGATATTGAACATCTTTTGAGTACCTCTAGGATTTTGTGGCAGTATTTGTGGTAGTAATTTAGAAATATATTTGCTTATGTATGATGGTAAACGCAACTTTTTATGACTCGCAGTAAGAAGTAATACTGCCACCTGCAGGTGGGAGTAAACCATCACTTAGATCCAATGTTCTTTTTTTTTTTTTTTAACATTTTGCAAAAAATTTGCAATAAATTCACAATTATGCATTAACGTGAAATAGTGTTGATTATACGTGAATTTCCATGCAAATTCACAAGAAACTGGAGGAACTAATTGATGAAATTGGGCAAAAAACGGATAAAAACTGCTTTAAATGGATTGATAAAGTAATATTTAAGCACACTGTTATCTTGACAGTTCTATTTATGAGTCTAGAGGGCCGTATAAAAAGCTATGGCGGCCGTTTGCTCTCATTTATTGGTGTGTTCAGTTCTGCTATGCTGCTCCTGGCAGTGGTTGGTTACCATAGTAACCAGTACCTGACAGCTCCTCCCCCTTTTTTTATGTTGCCGTCGGTAACTGTTGGTATGCATTACTTTCAGATCTGTGTTTTCATGACGAAATATTATATTTCAACATATATTTTAGACTGATTTAGTTTCATGAGTAATTTTGCTATGTTTTGTTTATGTTTGTAGCTGTTATTGTTATTAATGTTGATTTTAGCTATGTTTAATTTTACAACCGCTAACTGCTCATTGGGAGCCATTGCTTTGTAGTTTGTTTAGGGTTATTTATTATATTTTATTCAATGTGAAGGGCCAGAAGCTGCTGGACTGATATTAAACACCGATTTGATTTCCTCTGTTGTTAGAATAAATACAGAGAACCTGAATGTTTCTGTTGTGAAGTCAACCTACTGGATCTGAGACGAACATCGAAAGGTTAAACCATCATGTTTCTTTTTCTTTTGCTGCCATGAAATGGTTTTCCAACGTTTCCCCCGATTGTTGTTCTGCTTAATTTCTCTTTAAAATTCGTCTCGCTGGTGTCTCTGGCTGTCACTCCAAGTTGCTTGTACCAAAAAAAACAAAAACAAAAAACAATCAGTCTGTGAGTCTGCAGCAAACTGAAGGATCTCTTGAATCATTTCATTTCGTTTCTGCAAAGAGACACTTATATTCAGCAACTTTTCTTTTTTTTTTTTTTTTTTTTACCCTGCGAGGTAGATTTTCCAACACCCACCTTCGGAATAATTGTGTGCAAGTCTAGACACACACATCCAGAGTGTTACTGCAGCATCTAAAGATATTTTTCTCTCAGACCTAATTGAGGCGTAGGCAGTTGGTTTTTTTCTTCCTGTATGTTTTCCCCTTTGTAGGTTTCCTTTAAGCGCCTGTGGGTTTTAGAAGATTTTAGAAAACCTTACATGTAGCTTTACGGCTGCTATATGTGGAATACAATGTCCATTTCTCAGAACTAGAAATGCGTCTCTTTCTCTGTTGCTTTCAGCCGTCAAACCGCACAAAAATAACATTTATTACTTTCATGTAAATACTAAACTCAAACATTCGCTCATTAGTTAATTTATACTTGAATAAACCTGGCAACATTTTGTTTTTAAATTCCCTTACTCTTGCCTTAAAATAAAATGTAGGTTTTTTTATAAGATGGTAATAACTAAAGATGAACCAGATTAAATATCTAATTAATTAACAATTAACAGATTAAAACATAAAACTCAATTTTTAGTTAATATATTTAGCCCTATTTTTTATGCTACGGATACATAAATTTTTTTTCCCACCTCTGTTCAAGCTGCTGTTATGCTACTTTTACATTATTTTGTTTTTGTTCATTTTCATAATAAAAAGCGCTTTTGTCATCTGTGGGTTTTTTTTTTTTTAGATTTGCTTTATGAATAAATTTGACTTGACTTTAAAAATTCTCTTCAGAAAATACTTTTAAAATTGTTTTTTTCTGTTGGATTCAAACCTTTAAGAATTATGAAACAGTCTGCAGCTCATTTTTGTCTTGCATGTTGTAGATTTTTAAAACAAAACCCTAACCTCTTATTCTTAAAATACCAAACCTTTTGTAGCAGCATACATACTGAAGAACGCTGTTCTCAGTACAACCTGGTAGTATTTGGTGTATTTACCAATTTGTAAAATATTACGTTACATTGTCTTGTATTGTGTCTTTATTTTTGTCCCTTTAGTTAAAAAGGCGGGTGAGAAACTGGGGTCACGGGGTCATCAAGTAATCCCCACAGTTGCAGTTTGCCATTTTATCTGCTTCTGTTCTGGTACTGGCACCATAATGAAAGCACTCTGGGGAGCTGAAGCCAACATAAATCAGTACACAAGATCAGAACCACAAGGGCAAACAACTGTGAATAATGTAAAAGAAATGGAGCCGGTAAAAACGCTGTAACTCAGAGGGAATTATTGGCCTTTTCCCTGACCTCTCACATCGAGGGGTCTCATTACCATAAGAATGTTTTAGTTCCCACTGTTTATCATGTTGGGCTTTGTTACCTTTGGACAGCGATTTAAAATGGTTTCCAGTTTCTGGATTCCAAACCTGATCTTTCAGGATGAGAAACATTTTTTTTGACCAGTTAAATGTTAAAGTGCAGTAAACTTTGAGGAGAGATTAATTAAATTTCTTCTGAGCTTTCATTAAAGGAGCCCTAAAATTTCACTGGAGACAAAACAAAATCCAAAAAATATTTAAAGGTAACCTATTATGTTTCCTTGAACAGGTTTATATACAAAACATGTTCATCACATGGTTTCCACAAAATAATTCTTAGATAATATTTTGTGGTCAGTTCTGTCTATTTGAGCTCCTTTCATAACGTCAAAGTAAGAACATGCTAGTGGCATTTAGACTGTTAGCCTAAATTGTTGCTGCTATTGTTAGCATTTAGCCTAACATTAGCATCAAGGTTGTGATTCTCCACATACTGTGTAGTAGATGTTAGCTAAGCTTAGCTTTGATGCTAATTTTTAGCATCAGAACGCTGGGTTCCAGCAGACGAGCACACTTTGGCAGGCCCCAATTAAACTCCTCCAGAAATTTTCTAGTTCTTAGATAAGAAGATTTTCTGGTCAGTTCTGCATATTTTGATCTCCTTTCAGACTGAGCTGTTTTAGGGCGTCTTGTCACTTTAAATCCAAATAAGCTGGAGCCATTGTACAGCGGGAAAACCAGCTGGACACACATGCTGGAGCTTCACTTTGGTTGCTAGGTAACGGGACTGGGCTCTGTTGCGGTTGCTAGGTAACGACGCAGTGCCATTAGAGTGTGACTTAACTATCAGGAGGGTTTTGAAACGACTCATTTTCAACACACCAAAAAACTTTTAACTTACTGCCAAAAACCGCCTAAGTTTTGTTTTGTTTTTAAGTTCTTTATATTTTTAGAAGAAACCCCAACAGAAGTACAAAAATTTTGCTCAATAGTTCCTCTGTAAGACTGACTCCTGATGTCAATCTTAAAAAAAAATAGCCTGTCAAGATATGGGGAGTTGAGCTGAGTTGAGTTTATCTGTGTGACATTATTTCGCAATGTGTCCTTTTTGGAGGTGGTTAATGAGTCGTGAACATTTTTGTGGACTAAGGTGTGCCTCGGCCTATCAGCAGCTCTTTGGACTGTTTCACCTTTACGCTGGAAAAACAAATTGGGAACAAGACCGTTTGAGGAATAGTTCAAGGATACATGCGGCTATATAATGACGGAGCTGGGAGGACTGGAAATGGGAGTGCAGTTGTTTGTGTGCATTGGCAGGCGGAGTCACAAAAGAGAATATTGGTGCATATTAGCAATAATATTGTCTATTAATGTGACCTGCACTTGCCTCCCTGTGGTTTACACAGACAAGCACACACAGATTCGTACACACACAGTCAAACTGAAAGAGTTTGCTGCACCTTTGATTCATAAAAAAGGGAAATATTTATGACTGGTTGTTAAAGCCCTTCTGGGTACTGTGATGTGTGTGTATATGTGGGTGTGTGTGTGTGTGTATGTACACTGTGTGTCTGCAGTCACACACACATTATGTTCATCTGAACACTCCTGCTTTGGTCACAGGAAGATAACATGATTTGTTTGTCAGAGTGTGTGTACGTGGCTTAAATTAGGCATATGGTTATGTGTGCATATAGTGTGTGTGTGTTTAAGTATGTGTATCACGTAGCTAGTCCATATTATACCCTCTGTGGCCCTCAGCTTTAGCTCCAACATGGCTGCAGGTCTCAGCCTCTCAGCATGGGGGACTGCTGTGATATGTGTGTGTGTGTGTGTGTGTGTGTGTGTGTGTGTTGGGTGAGTAGGTATAGATTTTTATTTATCCATCTTTTGCATTTTATATAACCATTGACAAACCAGTAAAAGTGTGTATTTGATTCAGTCTGAAATTCTGCCATTGTCTGTCTGATACACACACATCGGAAGAAATAGGACACGCTGATATGGGTCCCCTACATGTTGTTTACATCCGGAAATGTCACGCATGCGCATAGCGCTGGAGGGCAGAAAGATTATTCTTTTACATGCCGCCCAACAGCCGCGCTGCCGCGGTAATTCAACTCTGTTTGCTAAAGGAAATCTGGAGATGTATGTATGATTCATTTAGTGCAGTGCGCACAGCGAAGGGAAAAATAACACTGAAAAACCGTTGAAGAGTAACTCAAAACCGCCCTTTTCTCGCTCTATGTGTCGGCTACGCTACACGCGGACTCGTTACCATAGCAACCGACAATAATTTTACGTTTCCCCAATTCACACGTTTCCCCCAAAAAACTATTTTCCCAGATAAACAATTGAATAACTCGAAACTATTTGTATTCTTTTTTTCTTGCTCTCTGTCACACGCAGACTCGTTGCCATAGCAACTGACAACATATATGTAACAGTGTTTAGGTTGTAGAATCCCACTTGCTTTATGTATCAGTGCAATGGGGAAATAGCGCCCCCCCTCTCTGTGTGGCTGGTTATATGCTGCTGGCTCCTGCACTCAGTGCCAGTCTGTGAAAGCTGCACAAGAGGTGAGTTTCATTCTTCAGCACACCGAGTAGAAAGATGTTAGCAATCGATAAAACATAATTTTTATTAACTTAGATAAATAGAGTGCAATTAATATTTACCAGATACGTGCCTGGCACTAATTTTTTGCACTATCATTTCATTATAAAACACTTCATGTGCTAAGTTAAAAAAAAGCTAACATAACGCTCGCTCTGTTGTAGTGTGCTGATTGAAGCTGAGCCGTTGCACTGATTCCAACCCGATATGTTCTCATTCAGGTACATCATTTATTATTGTATCCTTCATTGTATGATCTTTAAAACATGATTTTTACTACACTCAGTGCCAGTCTGTGAAAGCTGCACAAGAGTGTGCTGATTGAAGCTGAGCCGTTGCACTGATTCCAACCCGATATGTTCTCATTCAGGAAATAAACTGCAGATCACCCAGAAACTCCTTGTCTTCTTTAAAACTACACAACGCAGAGTCGAGGGATTACTTGGGCTGGCCTGGTACAGTGGAGTGAAGCAGAACCCGGTTACATATATCTGTCAGGATTCAACACCAAAAAACACTCAAACATTTCCCACACAAAGAACAGAACATAAAACAATAAGACAGTTTTATGTTATTTGGGCTTGGTGTTTATTTTACAATTAATAATAAATGGTAGGTTAGGTACAACCGCTATTAACTAATCCACTCATTAGTTTGGCTACTGCTATTAACTAAACTATACTGTGGTGGTAGATTAGCTAATTTAAACCCCTGCTTTACCAATGATCTGTCAGAGTTGGTGCCAACGTCCTTTTTTTTTTTTTTACTGATCCAAAACACACCATCACATCACATCTACATGTTACGGTTGTCAAAGTCAAGCTAGCTTAACTGAACTTCTTCCCTCTGAAGAATTTTTTTCTTAATTAAAACTTTTTCATGATCTTGTTATCTAGTCATTGTAGTCTTGACAATTAATAGCATAGCAATACATCCATTTTTATTTTATATCAGGCGTACGTTTAGTTAGCTCGTTATATTAATAACTTATCAGCTAAAAACCAATGCTAGTCATTTCGCCCTCCAGCAGAGACGGCCGATCTTCTGTGACATCATTAAAAATGTTTTTTTTTTTTTAGAGTACTTTGGCTTTGACTCATAAAACTACATAGGAAAAAGCACAACAATAAACCATGTCTTACATAATCATCACATTGTTGCCTGACATATGTTCTCTTACGGAGCCCAGTTTGCAGCAATGCAAATACCTAAATTAAATAAGTCTGGTTTTCACTTTTCACTCCACAGTTGGATCAATGTTGGAGAATGTACATCTGTTCCTACCAGGAGTTGTTGTTACCCGCCAGTCTTTCCTTTTAAGGAGCAGTGCTGATTAATTCCTCCAGGGAAAGAAGTGTATAGACTGTAATCGTGTGGATCTTAAAGATGGTGCAGCATGTGACTCCCATCCCACAGGCAACTAAATGGCAGCAAGAAATGAGTTTGGACAAAAATGTTCTCTGTCCTTGAAAAAAAACAAATGTTCCCCACATATTAAATTATACCATTCAGAATTTTGTGACAGTTTCTGTTTTTGTAAAACTTCTGCACCAATTTTTAATCTTTTCCTTTATAGGAACTTTAATATAAAAATGTATAAGAGCAACATTCCAAGTATTTTCTAGTCTCCTTGTGTTGATTAATGGTATTAGGATCAAACCTTCAACATTTCATGACAGAAGTTGAAGGAATAAAAGGAATAGAAACTTTGATCAGCCTTCCTGTTATCAGTTCAAAGTCTTGGTCTCCCTTGCTGCATATATGTTTCAGCATATTATGGAAAATTGCTTCCTTCTTTATATTGTTTTACTACTAACGTTCATCTTTCACTGGCCTTAACTTCAAACAACCTCACTGATGCTGGAAATAGTAATTCTTCTTAACTAGTAGCAGAACTCCACACTGAAGAGAACATCCTCAATGCATTATCACCTCATTAGGAAAAAAACTCACTATTTTGTGTAGAAGAAAAAAATCACTGCAAAATCCCAGCAACATAAACTTTCCCCATCTCTCTCTCTGAGGTCAATTTAATGCAATGCATTCTAAATGCTCATCTGTACTTCTTTTCTCATGATCTCAGCTTTCTAATCTAGCCTTATTATTACCACTGAGTCTAAATCTGAACATTTTAAATGTTAAAATAACTAAACAATCACTTCTGAACAGTTTCTTCTCAACCAAAGAAACTTATGTGAAATGTTTAGTTTAAAACTGACAGGTTGTCTTTTTTAAAATTTATTCATCTTCTGATAATGGGGGGAATATTAATGCCTTTATTGAGTTAATTTTTAGAACACAAAATCATTTTTTCCACTCTTATCTTATCTGCCTCAATAAATGCAAATCAGTTGTTTTGTCCATAGTCCATCCGTTTGGTCCGTCCGGCAGTGAGTAATACAACTTCATGTGAAAATCATATGATAGGAAAAAGTCACAGACTGCAAACACACAGCGTTCAAGTTCTGCACAAACACATCAACAAAACACTCCAAAATATGTCTTTGTTTCGTCGGCTCTGGGCCCCTTGACCTCTTGAACTCATTCAGATTTCAACAATCCTCACATCTGTCGGATACAATGCTGTATGTGTGTGTGTGTGTGTGTGTGCTCTTGTTCTGGATAATTTCCTTCGCGGAGCTAGCAGCTATTGTGCGGTGAAAAAATGTTTCTGCGGCGTCGTTTCTACGTTCTTGTGAGCTTGGAGGTGTTGCTTTTTAATGTGATTTCTATTGTTAGTCCGAAACACATCGACATGGTCACGTTTTGAAACGGCAAGCACAGTGTACATTTATTTATATTTGTATATTTCAGGAGAGTTTCAAAGCTTCAAACCCCCAAAAAACTCCTTTTTTTCTTATTATTCATCCCTGGGAGGTTTAGATTTCAAGTTGATTTAAATTAAAAGATGTTTTCTGTCAGAAATTTCCATTCAAAAATAAGACAAAAGTACAGAGGGTATTTTAAAAAAAATGCCAAAAAGTATTTATACCCGTCTCAGGAATTGATGAAAAAGTCTTTATTGGTGTTAAAGCTCCAAAATGCTTGAAATTGCTGACCAGCTTTTGTAAAAGTCCACACTGGAATTTTTTATGATTATTCCTCTTTTGCAATGCGCTCCAAAGTCTTTGCGATTAGGGTCATGGCAGGGAGGCCTTCTAATCTGGAGCTGCGTCCACAGGGGGCATTTTCTCCTGACACTTTCTCTGTCAGACTCAAGGTGGGACTCCAAAATGTTTATATCACTCACAGTCAGAGGAAACTCACCGTACTAAATAGTGCTTTAAACACAAAGAAATGACATAATTTGGTAAGACAAGAAGTTGTGACATGAGTAAAAATTAGATATGGTAACATGTAATAATGTCATTCTTTTCTGAAATTTAAATTGGTGAAACATTCTTGTTTAGTTCTAGTATTTTGAAAGGAATGTAAAATTCACTAAGCACTGGTTATTAAATTATATGTTACTTATTTGCAAAAGGTTAGTTTGCTATTTTGAGTGTTTTGTATGATGTAGTAATAAAACCATAAGAATACATTTTTATTTGACTGCAATAAATGTCTTTTTGAGGTTGAAAGTTCATAACTGCTGCAGTTGAGATAGAGATACTGACAACGACGTTTCGTGGTTTTGTGGCCGCTGCAGTGTAATTAAATCTGAAGGACCTAGAGACGCTTACAGAAAGTTTTATGAGTAAAAGAAACATCAGTTATGCTCTGCATCATCCCAGACTGGATTTGCTTTTCAGGCCAGGTTAAGAAATCTCATCAGGAATGATTCTGCTTCAGGGAAGATCTCAGTTCTGATAAATGATCATTCATTGGTCCAACAGTCTGGAAAACATCTTGGATTTGATTTCAGTATTTGTTAGGAGTTGGAGCGACAGAAAAAGAGCAACTTCTTGTTTTTTAAACTTTTGTTGTTAATGTTGATCCACAGTTAAGATCGTGTTGCTGCTTATCGGACATAGTCAGAAACGGGCAGAGTAACTAAGAACTGGACTCAAGTAGCAGCACTACTTCTACATACGTTTACTCAAGTACAAGTAAAAAGTAGCCAAGAAATTACACAAGTAAGAGTAAAAACGTACTTGGTAAAAAGTCTACTCAAGTACTGAGTAACTGATTAAATTATCAGTCATTTAATATTTAAAAATTACATAATCATATGGACCAAAATCTAAATTTATGTAGAAATTTTGGTATTTTATGGACAAAAATGACTATAAATCAGTTTATTTGTATGGCACATTTCAGCAACAAGGCATTTCAAAGTGTTTTACATCATAAAAATACAGTCAGAACAAATGGTCAATAATTCTAGCATTACATTTTCTCATCGTTATTGATTTTTCATTGATTATTAATCAAAAGCAACTCTAATCAGGTGGGTTTTTAGTCTAGATTTAAAGCCACTCAGTGTTTTGGCTGCTTTGCAGTTTTCTGGAAGTTTGTTCCAGATTTGTGGTGCATAGAAGCTGAATTGCATGTCTGGTTCTGTTTCTATAAAACCAGAACCAGAAGACCGGAGAGGTCTGGAAGGTTGCTATGACAACAGATCTTTAATAATTCATATAAGTACAAAAAAATAACAAAATCAGGCAAAGGAAAATTTTTCCAAATCAGTTTCTTTCAATAAAAAACTGATGAAACTTTAACAGAAACTGCATGTGTGTCTGGTGATTTTTTTGGTTAAAACATGTTTGTTTTTAATTCAGTGGGTAGAAAATCCAGAAATTAAGTAAATGTAAAAGTAAATGTAACTAGTTATTGCCAAACTCTGAAGTTGGTGAAGATTATTGGAGATAAGTATCGGGATCTGCAGAGCTTCAAAAAGTCTGCAAAATCTTTAGTAACTTTGGCTAAAAATGATAAAGAACCAACTAATGTTTTTACAGATATACATAATAAATTCAGGTTTTAGTTTTTCGTTTTTCATAGAATTTGCATTGAATTTCCACAACAGGTTGAAATTATAAGCAGAGGAAATATTTATTTGAATCTATTTTTCTCATTAGGTTGGAAACTATGAGCTTTTTTGGTCTTTTTCCATTAACAAGCAGAATCTGCAAAAGTTTTTTTTTATTATTTTTTTATTTTTTACTTTCTACCTAAAAATTAAAATGAAGATTAAGTGGTGGTTCTTTAAAAAATGATAACAAATTTCCTAGAGTAGAGATATCTAACAAATGATCAGTTAGCATTCATGTCTGAATCTGTTTCATGTAGAATATCAGATATCGAAATTCCTATTTGATTATTTAACATTTTTATGTTTGTTTTACGTTCTGCCATCTAAAAGCTCAAATTCTTCACTGTTGAACCTTCAGTACAGTTTGGATACAGTTTGAAATATCTCTTGCATGTTGGAGCATTTCTGTTGATGTTGCTTAATGCAGCCG